CTCTCTTCGTTTGACTTTAGGTCTTGTCGCTATTGTGCACGTGTCAATTCTTTAATAAAAAATGAATCTGATCCATGCTTAAGGTAATTTGGTGAAAATTGAATTCAAATAAATAAGCATGGTGCATCTCTAATAATTTAAACTTTTAGATGAGACGAGTGTCACGCATTATGTAACTACGATCATAATAAATGAAAATAAAATAAAGGATTAAAATCAAGCTTCCTTCCCATTATGGGTTTAAAGAAGTTCTGTTTAATAATTAAATACAGAATTATACTAATATTATTTAATTATTGACCTATCGTTACCAAATATTAAAATCTTCGATACCGACATTACAGATCGAAATAAATGGAGAAGTTGCCGACTCTATACATTTAGTTTCACAACAAAAAATTTTATGTATTAAGACAATAATGTCCTCACAAAAACATTTATTTACATATGGTTTTCGGTCCCAAGAAAGTATAAAAATCTCAGAACCTCTCAATAAGCCTTCCACATCGTGTAGGATTTGAGTCTTATCAATCGTAAGATTCCAGCTGCCACAATTTATATATTGTCGGTTGAGAAGTGCTGGACGGACAGGACCACGTCCAAGGTGCCTAATTGGTACCCCCTATTGGAAGGGGCGCCCTAGTATTCTTGTCGGTTTTATACCATTTGATTTTGATTACTCATCGCTTCACATTTTTCAGTTAGTTTAGTTAATGGGTTGATCAAATAAACGACCAAGACAATGTTAACGTCAATGAGAGTGTAATAATTATTTACTGTTCACTCAAGTCGAATATTATATAAGAAACATGTTCGAGATTTTCATCAATATCCTATGTCAAAATCCTACTAAATTTCCCTTTGCTTGCCTCCCTGAGGCATATATAAATCTTATTAATTAAGATTCAAGTTTTGTACTTACTTTAATTTTCCTACTCTTATGGCAAGCTAGTTTATGAGCTTGGATAACATTTTTAGGTTGATGTTTTCAAAATCAAGCATGCTATAGGTACAGATTTTTTTGACAGGAAATTTTGACAACAATACTGGGCACGACACTATTGAAAGGTGGAAGTTAAAAATGAAAAAAAGGCCAATCATGTTTGTCCAAGTCATCTTGGTATCAATTCTGTCAAAATTTTCCTGTACTTAAAGCTTAATTGTTTCAAAATGATGTTACAATTATGGTTATATTAGTAAAGTTTCA